CCTGACAACACAGCTCATTAGCCTATTAGGCCACACCCCCATGTTACCAGAAGTGTGCTCATCCAGCCACACCCACCTTTTGCTTCTTATTCTGTTTACTTTGTCGTCAAAACGGAGGACTTTTTTTGTAGCAGGAACTTCTTTGCATGTTAGGCCACACACCCCTAATGTAGCCAGTCCTAATGAGTTTCTGCTGTTGGGTGTGGCCTATCATGCTAATGAGTTCCTGCTGGGCGTGGCCAACTCGGGAGCCAGCCAGAACTCCGTTCCTGTGCGTTCCTGCCCAAAAATAGCCCTAATAGTAAGCATTTCCTTTGCAAGTCTTGTTGACTGCTTGATTTGTGGGTCAGACACTCACGACTGTTTTCTTTAGACTTGTTCTCTGATTAGGTCGTGTTTGTCCACATTTGCCCTCTCTGGAGAAGACAGGGTTTGGGGAGAGGAGGGACGGATAATGCCATGGAATCCACCTTCCAAAGCAGCCATTTCCTCCAGATTTCTGTCGTCTGGAGATCAGTTGAAATTCCCGGAGACCTTCAGGCCCCATCTGGAGGTTGGCGACCTTAAAATAAGCATGCTCTCGTCTCTCGTGCATATTAGGCAATGCCCCTAAGGGCTGAATGATGCACTGTGTGTCAGATCTGCAATGGGATCTCCCAAGTTAAAAAGACCCCCCCCCTCCAAGTAGTGGAATTGGGGATTCGGGCAGCCACTTTTTAACAGGAGTGGAAAAAGACAGGCAGCACCTGTACTTTCCCCACTTGTGGGACTAATAGCAGCTCTAGTGAAAAACAGCATGGGGAGTAGTGTTGCCAACCTCCAGCTGGGGACTGGAGTCCCCCCTGGAATTACAACTGATCTCCCAATGACAAGAGATCACCTCATGGGAAAATACATCTACTCAGGGCTCTAGTCAGGGGGGAGCTCTCAGGTACGGAGCTCCGGAACAGAACCTCTAGGGGGCGGGGCGGTCATGTGGTGAAGCCCCGCCCCCTTCTTTACCCCGCCCTCTGCTTCGATCCTCATTCCGTTTGGGAATGAGGATGAAGCAGGAGGGTAAGTAGCCGGGCCTTCTGACACACTTCCGGTGATGTCAGGGGGTGTGGCCTTCTGTCACTTCCGGTGATGTCAGGGGGCGTGGCATATGCAAATAAGTTATGCTAATGAGTTATGCTAATGAGCTCCAGCACTTTATGAACAAGGGAATTTTTGTACCACCCGAGGAAGATCCAATTTTGAAACGTTGTTCTATAATCCAGAGACGACGTTGCTGATGTACCTTTGCACTGGGATTTTCTTACGATTCGTAGGAATTGATTTATTGTGCTGTCGTGCTTCAGACGGTAATACATAGTAAGCAGGGCTTTTTTTGTAGAAAAAGCCCAGCAGGAACTCATTAGCATAATAGGCCACACCCAACAGCAGAAACTCATTAG